TCTATTTACGCATTTAATGAAAGAGACTGTAAAAGCATCATCAGTTTATATTATCCTGACTCTCTCTCTGTTTCTCCATTACACCTTCCCATTCCTCATGGTCTCTTTCTGGAGTGCAGTGTTTTCCTGAACGCCGGTGCCAGAGTGGTATGCTAATGTGTATTGATGTGTATGAAATTTGCTGGAATTTGCAGAGGCAGCACTAATGGAATGAGTGTCTACCTCCACCTTGTCCTGCCAGTAACATAGCACCCGGTCTGAGGAGGGGGTGTGAACGTGCATCAGCGTCTGTCCATATGCTTTAAGTTCTCATTCTCAAGATTATGAGGAACCGATTAGTAGCCGCATTTAATTTAAATGGCCGAGTTACAAAACAAAAATACTCTCTTGCTCCACACAATGCATTACTTGCAATGATAGTAGATGTTTACCGGACCAAGCAATTTGGTGTTTGAAGTTAAAGCAATTGTTTGTAATTTTTTTAAACCTTAAAATACAAGTTTCAAAGTTATTCTGATGACTTCTAATAAGGTGAATGGCTTCTTTTTCCTTCCTTCTGCACGTGTACAGCTATCCACTGTAATTACTACAGTAATTTTTATAACAATGAATTCCACTCACTTAACTGTTTAGTGTGTAATTTCTACACCATTAGCACAGCAACATACTGTGAAAATCAATTATTTAGTTATAGTATAGAAGAAGGACTAGCAAATGGTCAATAGTGAAAGTTTTACGACCATGCATGTTGTTGTAATTGCATTGATCATGTTAAATTGCATTGCCATTTTAATTGTTAAACTAGTTATTTATCATCCAATTGTTAGTTATATAATATTTGTCTCTGCATATTTAACTGGGACAGGAGAAAGTATTTTATCATCAAAAATATTATACACTTCACCTTTTAATAAATTGTTAACGTGTTAAATATCAAACTAGATTTCAAGGAGAATGTGTCCTCTGCATTTTCATATCATGAAAAATAAAAAATAAAGTTGTCTAAGGTGTCAGACTTCTAGCCACGTCAGAGAAAGAGAAGATAAATCCAAAGCAAATAGAGACCATGTGGAAATCATGCTCTCTGAAATGGTAGCTCCTGAGGGTAATCTTATGAAATAGGTAAGACGGGTAAAGCATCACAAGTCTCTTCAATGAAACCTCAGTCCCTTTGGATTTTCCAAGCTTTATGAAAGCAAAACAGCTCATCAGGGGCATCATATAACACGTTATTTCCTCTGCATACAATGCCGGTTTAAGTAATTATGGCTGTCAAATGCAATTTGTTCACTCTATTGTTACAGCAATCTAGCTTGAACAGGGGGAAAAACCCCCCACATTATTAGAGCTACAGCTAAGCCATATGTCTTTTTAAAAATTAAAGTCACCTATCCTCGTTATAGAATTTTAATTTTATAGAAAAAAAATTATATAGTATAATAATAATATTTTTGGTCTGCTTTGTTGAGATGTAATTTGTGTATCATGTTTTTTTTTGGTTTATTATTATTATTTATTATTATTATTATTATTATTGTTTGTCAGTATGTAGTGATGGATGAGACCAATTGTTTGTAGAATTAGGCAGAATTGGGGGGGGGGGGGATAATACACAGACCAACACAAATGCAAAAACTGTAGGGCCCATAATTGTGTCTTTGTGAATAAAGTCAAGCATCCGTCCCATTATGTACACTCTCATTGTGTATTCTAACAACATGAAACATCATTGAATATTCATAAGATAGCCCTAAAGTAGGTTACATTGTAATTTGACCTAATAATTTTGATTGTGCAAATGCATCAGGTCACTGTATTAAATGAAATACATGCCCTGCTGTTTTTATTTTTTTGAGCAAATAAATCCTTTGGGCATTGGACTTCACATTCAGAACAGACATTTATGCAAAAGTACATAAATGCAAACAGTTTCAGGTCATAGTCGATCAAACGTTGTGATGCACCTTACTAAACCCCTTCATTATTACATCAATGTCATTCCATAGCGGTACGCTTTTGCCTCCAGTGTGTATACAGCCTTCAGGAAGACGGCACATTTGTTAACAAAGTACAAAAGGTCAAGAAAGCCAAGAATGACTATTCTGACTTTTAAACACTTGTAATGACATTTCATTTATTCATTATTAATTTGTAATTGTAGGGAATTAATGATTATTACTACATTCAGGTTTTGCGAGGACTCGGATCTGAATGTCCCAAGTCCACCTGATTAAACTGATTTCAAATTTGTTAGTTTGCACTTTAAATCAAGAGTCGTCCAGCGAGCCGGTGATTCTTAGTCTCTTTTAACAAATTAAATATGTGTTGTCCTGGCCACGGTCAACACAATTATGATTATTTGTAAGCTCTTAACAGAGGTAATTATTATAAGTAAGCTACGAGCTAAGTAGCAAGGGATCTTTTGGCAACAGTTTTAACCTTGAAATTATATGACCCCAGACACTCCTTTTTTATAAATGAACCATGAATTTTATTGGCTAATCTAGATTACATAAAAACCTAACTAAAACATACACATACACACACATACACACAAAGATTCAAGGAAAGGAGTCAACGGAGTTGCATTAAGTTTTCAAAGTCCTAACTCGTTTTACGAGTGGTTTTAAATTCAGCCTAGGAGAAACACCAAGCAGAGATTGTCTTATCTTTACTGCTTAACTCAGTTCACCAGTTCAACACCGAAGTCAGCAGATAGGAGTTTTGTTTGTACTTGCGTTTTGCTTAGTTGACAGCTGAACGCTGAGGCGGTTCCGTCGCTGACGCGGGCGTGCTGGAGGGGATTCCGTTGCTGATTGGCTGTTGATCTGGCGCCGGAATGACGTTTGGATGACGTCCTTTTGGGGAGATCCCTCGTTGGATTGGTTGGTTTCTTGATGACACAGAGGCTTGAGCAGTTCTACTAAAGGTCTGAGTTTGAAAGACTTTAAGTTCTTTGAAGATCGCGAAGTTTCACTGAAGTGTTTGGTGAGAAAAATTATATTGATTCCATTTTTATTAAGATTATTTTTCTTACCCCACTGGCAGATAATTTTACTTATTTACCTCAGGAAACAAGACTAAATATTGTATATATGTTTTCCCTTTACTGGGGTTAACAAACTCTGAGTTTCCAACAAAACCCGCTTTCTGGAATACACCCCAGATCAGTTTAGGTGAGGTGCTTGAGGGAGTTTAACAAGCATATGTTGTTCAGATCCTTTCCCCTTCCTTTTGTCCCTATCAAAACCCTAATTAAGAAAACATTTAAATGATATATTTTTAGGCATCGTAAAAGTGCACTTTATTTTAAAGAGGCAAGGAAGGACTAGATTGCAGTGGTGAAATGATGTTGTACAGATTCAGTAAAGATATAAATCTGCCGATCCAAGTGCAGTTGTTTATTAAAGGGTAATCCACAATCATAGTTGAGATAACAGGCAATGGTCATAACCAAAAAAAAGAAAGACACATAGACCCAGGATACCAAGGGTGTATTCCAGAAAGTGGGGTTTGTTGGAAACTCAGAGTTTGTTAACCCCAGAAAAGGGAAACTCAGTGTTTTCGGTTCCTATAAAAGACAAAACTAAACCTCTCGGTAAGTTACCATAGTAGCTTACTCTGTGAACCTAACCTGGTCGGGAGCAGGTTTTCTTTGGTGAACCCAGAGTTTATTTCGTTCTCCTCCCCCTTTTTAAAGCGTAAGCAATGTTTAAATAATTCATTCATTCATTCATGCTGCAAAAATGCTTTTATTGCTGAGATGATTGCCTTATTTCAAGTACAAATATCTAAAAAAAATATTACCGTATTGGCCCGAATATAAGACGACCCTGATTATAAGACGACCCCCCTTTTTTCCAGATGTAAAATCTTGTTTTTTCTCAGTAAAACACATTTTGTCTTCAATTATTTTCATATTGAATATTTTTCCTATTTTAATTTTTGTTTTGAAAGTATGGTAAAAACTGGTAAAACGTACCAACAATCACATTAAAAAAATATACACTTTAAAAAAAAAAAAAAAAAAGCCCGGTAGCCCATCTGAATTAGGACATTTAGGCTATACATCTAAAATCTTATTAAGAGTAGAAGTTAAATCTTACTGTAGTCTTCAAATCTGCATACTGTCTTACGTTTTAAAATCACAAAGGGAGTTTGGTCCCATCGGGCTAACGTGACAGTCACGACTCATGCAGCTGTAAGGTTTTCTTTTTCTTTTGTTTTTACTCGCAATCTTTACAACACGCATTACATTACGTATTTCATGGCACACTCATTTTATGCGTATTTGGCGCCACCTATTGTTGTGGGTGTATTATTGACACGTCAAAGTCTAGACCCTGAATATAAGACGACCGCGTTTTTTCCGATGTATTTCCAAGAAAAAAACATTGTCTTATATTCGGGTCAGTACGGTACATCAAGTTGCATTTTCTATAAAAAAAACAAACAAACAATATTTAGTCTTGTTTACTGGGTGAAACAAGTAAAATTATCTGCCAGTGAAATAAGAAAAATAATCTTAATGGAAATGGAAACACGATTATTTTTCTCACCGCACCACTTTCCATCATGCAGACACTGTAAATGTGACAAAAATGGCATGCCTTTTTACACGGGATCCTGTAGAAGAGGCTGCATTAATTCATGGGGAGTTACATTTACATCAGGAGAGGAATTTATTTTACTTTATTTTATTTTGCCATATCCACATGCATATTTACTTGAGCCGTACCACTTTTAAATGACATTCACTTAATAACATCTTGCTGTGACCTCTGGAAGTAACCTAATAATTAGAATTTTCTTCAGGATTTCCAGTGTGGTTGGATGCATTGATGACACAAATATTCCCATCATCACACCTTCTTAAAATGAATCAGATTACTGTATTGAATGGAAGGATGCCAGATGGAGGGGTAGTATGAGATATATGCCATAACCACCACCACAGCTGTTAAATAAACACAAATTATTTACAATTTATTTGGTCATCTTTATTTTCTACAAATACAAAAGCAACAGTTATTCTTTTTCCTTTTGGATTTTAAAATTCTTCTACTTGACTATCTCCTCTTCATCTGTCAGTGGTGCTGGTGCAGGTTCTCCCCCCATTTTGTGAGCCTCTGCCTTCTTGCTGTCGACTGAGTATAAGTATGTTGTTAATTTCATTACTCTAATTAAGAAATGTAACAGGTTTGATTAGAGATTAATAAGCCTATGTGAAAAGAGCGTTAAACGATGTGGAAAAAGCTGCTGCGCATTGAATTAGACACTGAATGATATGTAATATGTCAAATGTTTATAAAGTCATTTAGCCAACACCCATGAACCTTTTATGCTTAAAGCTTTACCTTGATTGAATTGTGTTTTAAATAAATCATTTTTAGATGCTACTACGTTCTATTTATAATTTATTTATTTTTTTTGCCATGGGATACCATGAAAATGAAATTTAGTTAAATAATTTACAGTTTTCACCTCTGATATTATAACAGTGATTAAGAATTAAAGTTATGTATTGACTCAGAAGTATGCAGACTTCTTTTTGTCGGTGCTGTTGCCATGGTGAATCATAATTTCGGAGCTCCATTGATCATGACTTCTCATAGTCATTTAGCTGTTCTGAAACTGAAAACTCTGATTTTCCCATCTCAGGGTAAGTCAACTCAGAGTTCAAGTTTTACACGAACGTGGTTATTTTAAAACCGCTTTTTTTTCCCTACGCGGTTTGGCCATTCGTCCACACGCAAACGCAGCACCAGGTCACTGAAATCGAACATTTTTGAAAACGCCTGCCAGGGTGAAGATTTTCAAAAACTCCAGTTGCAGTGTTATCCTGTAGACAGTGAAACCGGAGCTTTTGGCTTGTGACGTCGGAGCCTGCACTGTTATCTCCGCCAACTGGAAACTTTTTCAGGCTTCTGATTGGCCAACATGGCTTTACGGTTGAGATTATATCGCCACCTGTTGGTTTGGCATGCTCTTGACAGTGCTTCATAGCATGCGTTTGCGTTTCCATGTGGACGGAGATTTTTAAAAAAATGGAAGGAAAAACTCAATTTATAAAAATACCTATGTACGTGTGGACATGGCCTGAAAACACCAGGCTTATATAGGCAGAGGTAATGAGATAATGAAAAACAGCTGTGGACAATCTGTAATGAGATATGGCAAAGGATATTGGGACATGTAGTTTGTGAGGCAGAAAAAGCCTGAAAAAGTGTGCCCTCTATTGGACAACCAGAGCACTCCAGCTGGTCATCGTAACAAATAATAATAATACTAATTTAATAAAATATTAATTTATACATGTATAATAATAATAATAATACATTCAGATTTAACTAATTTGAAATTAATAACTGCCTCATTCTTCTTTCACAGCACAAATGGGAACACGGGAACTGCTTTTATATTTTAGGAAGGGGATCCTTTGCAAGACAATCCTCACATTTGGGGGCCCTTGGTTTCAAAAAGTTTGAACGCTCCTGCTTTAAATCGCCTCAGTTTACCGCACAGATGTTTGAAGGGGAAGAAACCATTATATCTCTTCTTTCTCTCTTCCATTTCAGACAGGTGTGACGGAACGTAGACTCAGCGTCTGCTCTTCTACTTGACACAAATCCTCATGCACACCCCTCAAGCTCTCTCTCTCTCTCTCTCTCAGGTTGCAGAGGTAACATGCCCTAATATACAGGTGCATCTCAATAAATTAGAATGTCGTGGAAAATTTATTTCAGTAATTCAACTCAAATTGTGTATTAAATTAATTCAATGCACACAGACTGAAGTAGTTTAAGTCTTTGGTTCTTTTAATTGTGATGATTTTGGCTCATATTTAACAAAAACCCACCAATTCACAATCTCAACAAATTAGAATATGGTGACATGCCAATCAGCTAATCAACTCAAAATTTCTTCAAAAAAAGCCTTCAAAATGGTCTCTCAGTTTGGTTCACTAGGCTACACAATCATGGGGAAGACTGCTGATCTGACAGTTGTCCAGAAGACAATCATTGACACCCTTCACAAAGAGGGTAAGCCACAAACATTCATTGCCAAAGAAGCTGGCTGTTCACAGAGTGCTGTATCCAAGCATGTTAACAGAAGGTTGAGTGGAAGGAAAAAGTGTGGAAGAAAAATATGCACAACCAACCGAGATAACCTGGGTTTTTGTTAAATGTGAGCCAAAATCATCACAATTAAAAGAACCAAAGACTTAAACTACTTCAGTCTGTGTGCATTGAATTTATTTAATACACGAGTTTCACAATTTGAGGTGAATTATTGAAATAAATGAACTTTCCACGACATTCTAATTTATTGAGATGCACCTGTATTTCATGTTTCACATGTGATTCAGAAAACGTGTCATGAGTGAAAAGTGCTCATCTGCCGCCACAGGGTGCACAAGATGAACCCGTTGCTTTAGATGAAACACTCAAGATAGAGACAGAGAAAGAGAGAAATATTAGTGTCAGCGAGAGTAACAGCCCATTCTACCCCTTCTCAAATGAAGCATGGATCACGGATGGGGAAACGTAAAGGTCACAAGCTGAAGTTTCGTGTCCATAGTTGCGTCTTTCTCTCTCTCACCCATGCAAACTCCTGTTCTTTTTATTCACACACACACACACACACTCGCACTTGACGTAATGAACACTCACACATACGCACTTACATTCTCGCACACAAACACATTGCTGTAATAAAGCTCTGGCCTCGCTCCCATTGTATTAATAAATGCTGTGTCCACACAGTCTCTCATCCATTTCTCTCTCATTAAAGTCGGAGCCTTAAAACGCTGTCATGTGTGACCTTTGCAGACTTCACCCACAACTCTCACGTCCCAGAATTAATGGTCTTATCTTCCTGCATAATCTTCAAACTTTTTTCTCTGATTAATTAGTGTCTAAATCACGATCTGTCCACTCAAGTGGCTCACCTTAAATCCAATTGCTTTTAATAATGGGATTCAATTCCAATTTACAACAAGGCTGGTAACCACAGAGTTCCTCCAACTGTACTTGTGAACTTTTCTACTCGAGGGAGAGAGAAAAAGTGAGTATGCGAGTCAGAAGCTGCTCTTTTTTTTTATAATACACTTTTTGGGTGTCTAAATTAAGAAAACCTTGTTGGCAAGGTCCAAAATTAGCACTCGCCAAGCACCAAATGTGAGTCAGAATTGGTTTTGGTAGAGAAGACTATACTACTACTGCAAATCTACTACTACTACTAACAATAATAATAATAATAATAATAATAATATGTTTTATGTAAATAATAGCGATTCAAATCATACATATAAGCTGTCTATTAAAGTGTCTATTCATGTACGGTGGCCGAGAGAGCTCAACACGCTGCAAATGAAAAATAAAAAATAAAAAACACCTGCAAATTAAGAAAACATCTTCATCAATTTGACAACACATGCACTGCAAATTCTCACAACACAACCACAGAAACGCGCTGCAAATTCTCACAACCCAAACAAATACAGAAACGCGCTGCAAATACTCCCAACACAAACAAAGAAACACGCTTCCCTTAAACATTGTGAAAATTTTCAGCGCGTGTGTTGTCAAATTGATGAAGATGTTTTCTTAATTTGCTGGTGTTTTTTCTATTGCATGTGTTTTTCTTTTCATTTGCAGCACGTTGAGCTCTCTCGGCCACCGTAGTCATGACATGAGAAACCAAATTTCCCTTGATCTTTTGAAGAAGAGGTCTTTGTATGCTTAATACATCCTGCAAGTTTCATAACTTAAAATGTTCTCATCATCAATAAAAGAAAAAGCATTCATGTAATAACCCTCAGAAAATGGCTCTTTGGATCTAAGGGTGCCAGGTGACAGTCGCTTGCATAAACAATGCTGCCAGAGCAAGACTTTGACGAATAGTCTTCTTCTCACCATAGGCCACTGGCGTTCAGTCGCTTGATTACACTTGATTACGTTAAATACGAGTGTCGCATCGCGTTAAATGCAAATAGAAATTACTTTTGCTTTCTGACACAGTCCACGCACTTGAGTCTGTAGTCAATAGGACAAATGGAGTGAAAAAATGTTCGCTTTGATGCGTATGGTTTAAACAGCTCACGTCACACATTCGCGTCTTTGTACAGATATCAGAAGGTCCCAGTGTAAGGAACAAGTGGATAGTTTGTTTTTAATGGCACCCCAGATTGTGTCTGAGGATTGTTCGTAGCATTTTGTTTTGTAAAAGAGGCACAGTGTCTTGGAGAGTTCACAAAGAAAAAAATGTTGAAAGATGAAGCAGTACTAATAGATCTGACTGCAGCTGCATCATAAACTGTAAGTAAATGATTTCATAATGCTTCATTAACATTATAAGTAAACCTCAAGATATATATATATATATATACACACACAGGATGGCTGAATTTGACATATCCAGGAATAAGCTAAATAATTATGTAGTTATAGCAACAGAGTGTATTTTCTTATATCTATATCTATCTATCTATATATATATATATATAATGCAAAAAATCATGGCAGGTAGTAATTGTAATTTATTTAAATATTTGTTTTTGTTAGATGTGGAAAAATAAATTTTGTCTGTATGTCAATAACACAACAGTTGACTGTGGCTTCATTTATACAGCAACTAGTTGACTGTGGCTTCATTTATACAGCACATTTTAACCAAATTACTGTTTGGCCAAATTTAGGCCACTTTGTTTTTATAGAATATGGTTGTCACTCTCCTTTTTTAACTAAAATGAGTATGAAAAGAATTGTATTTAGCTCTTTAGAACAGGACTGACAACTGTATTCTGCTGCTGTGTGAATGTAGCCATTGAGAGCTCTGGAATGAATCAAAAGGAGGGAGGGAGATCTGCGTTATAATAGCAGGTTTGATTGTCACACTGCTGGATTTTGTTTGTTAACTACATTTGTGCCCATAGCTGTTTTTTTTTGTTTTTGTTTTTTTTTGTATAGCATGTTGAAATTTACCATCTAACCGAAAAAGGCCAAAAGCCCATATGCTGAAGACCTAAGACGATAGGTTGGCAAACTTACAATAGACATGAATTTCCCTCTCTCTCTTTCACTTACAATTACACACACAAATATCTCAAGAGATCTGGTTGTCATCTAAACGAGAGTGGCTGGCATTGTGTCAGTCATGCTGCTAATGGTGATGAATTCCTCCAGTATTAGAATTTGTACAGTACTTCGGGAATCAATTTCTCCAGAGAAAGATAACGCATCAGTTGATGCCATTCAGAGTGAAAATGCAGACACGCACTGCTGCATTTGGCATAAACTCTTGCTGAAAGAATAGAAAGGATGATTATTGTAGTAATATAATTTTTTTGCTTAGGTTATTTATAATGTCTGAGTATAATATTAGTGTGCTTTTAATACAGTTTGCCATAATATAATGCGATATTTTGTCTGGTATTTCAAAGTTTAATTGTCTTTTTTATGTACTTAAAAAATAATAATAAATTGTGCAAGCAATGTATAATTTGAAATATTTATTAAAGTATAGATGTTTACCATTGCCCAATGTTTGCTTTTAATTTATTTATTTAGGGTGGATTCTTAAAAAGTGTGAAATGGGCTTATATTTTTCAGCTGCATCTCAGGATTGTCGCTTATTTTCCAGAGTCATAGTCACTTGGCTTTTCAATTCCGGTGGCCGGCTCAAAACATCTATTGCCCATGAGCTGCCATGAGCAAAGATGGCAGATTTCAAATCTGCAGGGTCCTGCACCAGACAAACAGCTGCCGTTGAGATGAATGTGAATGCTAACGGATGACTTTCTCCAGATATTTTACAGACCTCCTCGGTGACCCCAGAAACTGGGTCACTTCCAACCACATTTATATTTTATGGTTCTTTTCTGCTGCCTCTACAGGTGTTTTCCAGTTCATGTTCCAACAGCTGCTGAAATGGACATTGCTTGTCGCCTGTTATGTCATTCCATATTTGTTGACTTCCTTGACATTTAGTGTCAGAAAGAATAAGAAGGGAAAAAAAAAGATTTAATTCACTGAAGCGCTTTATCCACTTATCCCACAAAACTCTCAGGTTGAGACAATCTTGTGTCTCGGCTATCAAAGTTAAATGCTGTATGAACAACAGACATGATTTACTGTGTACAAGAAGTGCACTAGCCCTAATTTCTTTGCTGCCAGGTCAGATTCCAGCAGGTTCACATCTATTTAGTGCCGTTTTTAATATTCTTTTCCTTTTTTATTGAAACCCTACCTTGAGGATAAAATGAAGGCTTATACTGCAAACAATTATATCATAGCAATAACGATAAGCTCTAAAATAGGTCAGTCTGACTCACAGCATAACATAAAGGTTACAGCATTTGAGTGTACGTATGACTGGATATGTCTACTGCATTCTGACTCTAGGTAAATATGAGAAACAAGCTATATTATTTGCCATGAACAACCACTACAACAGCAAAAAAAACAATTCACTTTTAATTAGTATTTTAGTCATGTTTCCCAGTAAAATAATTAATCGTACTTAAAGGGGTCATATGATGTTGCTAAAAAGAACATTATTTTGTGTATCTGGTGTAATGAAATGTGTTTATGCGGTTTAAGGTTCAAAAAACACTTTATTTTCCGAAAGGAAAAATTGAAATTGCATCATATGACCCCTTTAATATTTTTTTTTCCAGAGATAACAAGACTAAAATACTGAATAAGACATTTTTTTTTATAATTAATATTATTTTGCACCATTAAACTCAATATTCAAGATGTAGCAAGTTTTTTATATATATATATATATATATAATCTTAAAGCTTCCAAGGAGAATTTTGGAACACGCAGCTAATTTTTGGATGATGCTCTTCTACAAATTTTTTTGCTACATAAAAGTAAATTAACAAAACAACTTGGGAGCCATATCAGTCTGGTACCGCTGCCAAAATCCCCACTTAAAACATTTTCATTCCATCTGCTTATGGCCTCATATGAGTCTCCTCTTCATCAACACATCGCTGTGATGTCCGATTCGTGGTGAGAGCACTAGCCCAGACTGGCTGCCGTCACATCCAGATGGTTGGTATTGGTACTTAAGGTCCTCATTACAAATAAATCGACTTGTTTGTTAGGCCAAAGCCTCGTGAATTCTTAATTAAAATTAAACTAATTCTAATTTTAAATTGTCCAGATTCTACAGAGGAGAGGGATTCATCCGCATTTGCAGATCTTTGACATTCATGAACAGGGACCCAGGAACACACTTTTTTGCCCCCTCACCCCCAACGATAGCATTCCCGGTTGTCTGTCCTCCCCTGACGATGGTCCAGGGTGTAGATTACAAATCCTGGTTTGCGTTTTTATAATTCCTCTTGTTGCAGTAGACCATAGTGACCCGGTACAAGGATCGGTTGTCATGCTGGATGCCACTGTGTAATAAAACCTAATATAGATTTGTCTCTTTTGTTGCCCAGCCATGGGCCCACATCTGACCTTGTCTGTCTAGTAGAAAAAAAATGAGTGCACACACAAAACCTGGACTTCACTGCCAACTTCAATTTCAATGCTTCAGGTGTTGGTGTGTTCACAATACAAACCACCTGTTTAAAAGCTAATGGGAGATGCAGCTGCACAAAAACATCTCTTAAGGTATTATAACAGAACTAGTATTCAAAATGAAATATTATTACTGTGTTTAATGGAACAGCTGTAGTTATCTTCAAAGCAGGTGCTAGAACTGTAGGATGCTTATAGAATAATAATGACAAAATTCACAGTTTCTACTGGTAGTTTTTGCATAGTGTCAAATTAATAATGTTTTTCTTTTTTTTCACCTGATGGAGTTTGGATTCCTTGCCACTGTCGCCTTTGGGTTGCTTAGATGGGGTTTAAAAGATTTAAAATTCAGTAATATTATCAATTTGACTGCACTGACACTACTATATGAAAACAAAAGTTGAACTGAATTGAGCTGAATAATGACACTACTGTTTTTGTAGAACTGATTTATAGCTGAATCAAATTAATTTCATAATTGACCAATTTAGCAACACCAACACTGTTATTCAACTGAATTGAATCAACTGACTCAAACTGAATAATGACATATTTGCTAAATTAAATAACTATACACATTTATTGAACCAAACTGAACCAACAGTGAACTTACTTGAGCTGAATAATGATATTATTGTCTTGTTAAAGCTGCTTTACAGCAAAAATGTTATCATATTTGAGTTTGCATCAAGTTTACATTGTTTCTGTTTTCCTGTTTATTACTGTGAATCTGCTTTTAAACAATCTGTATTGTATAAATCGCTATATAAATAAATGTGACTTGACTTAATGTCAAGTTTCATTATCAGTGTGCAGAATTAGGGATATGTTGGTCTAAATTATATTTGTTTGTTTATTTAGTTGTGTGTGTTCTGGTTCCATTTTGACCTTGAGAGAGTCTTTTTGGGATGTGGTCCCACCTGCTAGGGTCCTATAACGCAAGATTTTCAATTCTGAACCAGACTGAACATAGAAAAATAGTATGTAGCTGTTGGATTACAAAGGAAAAGAGCAGTTTGTGCTTATATATGTGTATGTGTGTGTGTGTGTGTGTGGAGTCTGACCATCGGTGGACATTTGATTTGAGATGGGGTCAGCAGTAGGTGTGGGGTCTAACAGCAAGAAGCTAGATTGGAGAGAGTGATCCCTACCGTCCAATACACATAGCAGCAGGAGCATGGTGCTACCTTAGCAAAAAAGACAGGGGGAAAGAGAAAATGTATGAAATTGAGGGCTATCCTTTAAAGATGGTCTCTCTATATGATCAGTCTGTGGCCACTTTAGGTCCATCTATCCAGTGTCAGGTATTTGGCTTCTAAAACGACATGCATTCTTTGCAACGGTTTTATCAAGGTGTTGGAGACATTTCTTAGGGAATTTGGTCCTTGCTGTTTCAATAACACTGGGCTGTTTGCACTGATATTTTGGCTGCAGAATCTATTAATCTATTTTGGCCACGCTACAGCAACTCTTGTTTAAGATCAGGCGACTGTGCAGGCTGCTAGCGGGAAATAAAGACTCATGCCATGTTCTTGGAACTGGAGATGATTCGAGCTTTATGACATTTTGCACTATACTACGGGAGCGATCCATTTGAAAACCGATGGACTGTGGCCATAAAGGGACGCACATAACAGCAACAACGCTTAAGTATGCTGTGGCATTCAAATTGTGCTTAGTTGGTATAAAGGCCCCTTATGTGCGATTTTTGGAGTCAAATTGTGACTCTACCATCTGTATGCTGTAGATTTGTCAGATCAATGAGATTCTTCCAATGTTCAGTCATTTAGTTTTGGAAAATCTGTTCATAGTTGATGAGAATGGTCCTTAGTCTTTAGCGACTCATCTGTTATCCCAAGTAAAAATACAGTAAAAAAAAATATATAGAAATAAAATACTTAAGTATAAATTAAAATATTAAAGTATTTAAATATTATAGATTTTTGTAACTTATTTCAAAAAGTGAAACGTTCATATATTCTAGATGCATTACGTATGTAAAGTAAAACATTTCAAAAGTTTTTTTTTTTAATGATTAGAACTTACAGCTCCAGTATCCAGTATCTCACAATATTAGAATATTTCCTAAGATCAATAAAAATAACAAAAAAGGATCTGCAAAACAGAAAAGTTCAAGTTCTTTAAAGTATGTTCATTTATGCACTCAATACTTGGTCGGGGCTCCTTTAGCACAAATTCCAGCATCAGTGAGGTGTGGCATGGAAGAGATCGGCCTGTGGCACTATTAAGCCTTCATCTTGTCTGTATTGTTGGATTGACTGTTTCTCATCTTTCTCTGAAAATATCCCTTAGATTCCATATGGGGTTCAGGTCAGGCATGTTGGCTGGCCAATCAAGCACAGTAATATCATGTTCAGTAAACCACTTGGTTTTGGCACTGTGGGCAGGTGTTATGTACTGCTGGAAAAGGAAATCGGCATCTCCATAAAGCTTGTCAGCAGATGAAAGTATAAAGTGCTCCAAACTCTCCTGGTAGATGGCTGCATTGACTCTGGACTTGAAAAAACACAATAGACCAGCACCAGCAGACGTCACGGCACCCCAAATTATCACTGACTTCGGAAACTTCACACTAGACTTCAAGCAGCTTGGATTCTGTGCCTCTCCAGTCTTCCTCCAGACTACAGATCTTGATTGCCAAATTAAATGCAAAATTTACTTTTATCTGAAAAGAGGACTTTGGACCACTGATCCACTGATTGAGATACTGGATTTTTGACTTTCATGAGCTGTAAGCTCTAATCATCAAAATTAATAAATAAAAAAATTTAATTTTACTTTACATGCAATTAATGAATCTAGAATATATGAAAGTTTCACTTTCTTGAAATAAGTTACAAAAAGATCAATCAAAAAAGGATTTGCAAAACAGAAAAGTTCAAGTTCTTTAAAGTATGTTCATTTATGCACTCAATACTTGGTCGGGGCTCCTTTAGCACAAATTCCAGCATCAGTGAGGTGTGGCATGGAAGAGATCGGCCTGTGGCACTATTAAGCCTTCATCTTGTCTGTATTGTTGGATTGACTGTTTCTCATCTTTCTCTGAAAATATCCCTTAGATTCCATATGGGGTTCAGGTCAGGCATGTTGGCTGGCCAATCAAGCACAGTAATATCATGTTCAGTAAACCACTTGGTTTTGGCACTGTGGGCAGGTGTTATGTACTGCTGGAAAAGGAAATCGGCATCTCCATAAAGCTTGTCAGCAGATGAAAGTATAAAGTGCTCCAAACTCTCCTGGTAGATGGCTGCATTGACTCTGGACTTGAAAAAACACAATAGACCAGCACCAGCAGACGTCACGGCACCCCAAATTATCACTGACTTCGGAAACTTCACACTAGACTTCAAGCAGCTTGGATTCTGTGCCTCTCCAGTCTTCCTCCAGACTACAGATCTTGATTGCCAAATTAAATGCAAAATGTACTTTTATCTGAAAAGAGGACTTTGGACCACTGATCCACTGATTGAGATACTGGATTTTTGACTTTCATGAGCTGTAAGCTCTAATCATCAAAATTAATAAATAAAAAAATTTAATTTTACTTTACATGCAATTAATGAATCTAGAATATATGAAAGTTTCACTTTCTTGAAATAAGTTACAAAAAAAATGAACGTTTTCACCATATTTAAAAATTTTTTAGATGCACCTGTATATATATATACATCAATAATATAGCCTATCTATTAAGTACATTGTAGAGTGGCCCAATGCTGCTCTTTCATTCTCTCTCTGTGATCCTAGTTAGTTAGTTTCAGTTAGTTTCAGCAAGCCTTGGCCTTTCTTTTCTGGTCTCTCATCACCATAGCATGAGTGAAAATTAATAAATAAAAAAATTTAATTTTACTTTACATGCAATTAATGAATCTAGAATATATGAAAGTTTCACTTTCTTGAAATAAGTTACAAAAAAAATGAACGTTTTCACCATATTTAAAAAAATTTTAGATGCACCTGTATATATATATACATCAATAATATAGCCTATCTATTAAGTACATTGTAGAGTGGCCCAATGCTGCTCTTTCATTCTCTCTCTGTGATCCTAGTTAGTTAGTTTCAGTTAGTTTCAGCAAGCCTTGGCCTTTCTTTTCTGGTCTCTCATCACCATAGCATGAGTCAGAGAACTTTCCTAATCACATTATTCCCTATTAACTCAAGACTCTGTGGTGTGTGAAAATCCCAGGTGGTCAGCTGCTTCTGAGATGGTGGAGCTATGACCTCCAGAAGCAAATATTGCAAGTCTCCTACATCATGCATTCTCTACCTGAATTTAAACAGAATTTCAATTAAACCCCACAACCTCGTCTGCCTCTATTATAAGTTGAGTTTCCGCCACATGACAAATAATGAGTTGAATGGCCACTGAGTATTGTTCATGCAACATACAGAGATAGGCTACTCTCTCTCTCTCTCTCTCTTTCTTTCTCGCATATACTGTTGAATAACAGCTGGAGGTAAGTGGAAAGATGCTTAATGATGTTGTGTGATTGACAGGTGGGGTTACGGTGTGAAATGTGGACTTGTGAAGGCACAAGTGCTGTGATATAAATTCGAAGAGATGAAATCAGCTCTAAGCAAATTTATTCATGGTTTAATCAGACATGTTATTCACTGATAACCTACTTTCCCCATATTAATGCAGAAAAGGGAGATATAGCTTTAAAAAGAGGACGGAAGGAGAAAGGAGTGAGAGAGGAAGCAGGAAAGAAAAAGGGAAGATGGTTGAGAGAATCAGGCGGTTTTATTCCTCATTTTCCTTCATGTCTGGGTAAGCAATCTGGTCATGCAGTGGAGCCATCCATCATGGTTATAGCCTGTGAAGAGAATGTCTGAAGCTCAGGGTCAATGCACTCTCTTTTTCTTTCACTCTTTCTCTCTCTCTGTCTCTCCTGTTCTTACTGGGTTAAAGGGTGTAATTCTCCTGTGCTCATGGCTGTGGTGTCACCTCATAAAACCCATCCATACGTACATTGTACACTCTGATAGAGAATGTACCACATTTCTGTAGTACTTTCTAAAGTCAGTGTCTTTCTCTGAGTCCTTATATGGTGTCAGTGATGCTGAAGATTGAAGTGGGCAACTGTAACAGCCACCATTACCACTCACTTTGCGTCTACATTGTGTCAGAGAACTGAATCTGCACTCCGTCACCCTGAACAGACCACCTAGCTGCACACATATACACACCATTACACAGGGTCATCATTTATAAACCACCACTCAACATCCCACCTTGCTGGACTGACAATGAATCATCTATAGGCGATTAATACATAATTTTAAACCTCAATTTGTACATTTCATTCTGTCCTTTGCTCCTTTAATGACTTTTAAATGGTTATGCATCTTCACACGCACACATTTACTTAGCTAAATGGAAATGTGCTATATACTTCTTTTGATTTTATACATTTTATTTTATAGTATTATTTTTAGTTGTTTTGTTTGTTTGTTTGTTTTTGTTTTATTTGTTTGCTTTTGATTTAGTTTTTTAATGTGTATGTTTTTGCGTTTATGTTTTTACTTTGTTCTATGTTTGTGTGTGTGTGTTTTTTTTTGGCTGTACTGGATACAAAAACAAGGCCTTCAAGGCTGTGTTGTGTTGTGCTTTACTACTAACCCTTACTCTACACTACAATATTATGCATTTTTATAGTTTTGCTTTGTTTTTTTGTTTCAATTTGTTTTTTTTTGTTTGTTTTGTGTGTGTGTTTGTGTCACAATCTGTCCTTTACAGTTTGTTTTGTTTAGATTTGTTTGTTCCTGAAAGTATAGCTAACACACACAAATGTGCCTCTCTGGTACTTTGTGTTGGGTTTCAGCCCTCAGCCAAGTGTGATTGACCCGGTGGAGTGTGTTTAAAATAAGTGTGTATGAATAGCTCCCTCTCAGACTGCCACAGGGCTCTGTGCTCTGAATGCAAAAACAGGGCCTTCTGTGTGGTCTTAAACATATAAATTATTCTGTTGTGCTTCCAAGCCACCCTGTTTCTCACCTCCTTTCCTGCGGGGCTCCACTTTTTTTTTGTAATTTTATGCACCATTGGACAAAGCTGTTGACATATTTACACATTTTTACTAGTGCAAATGTTGAAAGAAATCAAGTAAAGCCTCCTATTATTGTGATTTGTGTCAGACAAAGGAATTCCCCTGTGTGTGATATGTGTGTGTGTGCTGGAACGAGCCAAAGATCCTTCCTCATGGAGTCTCAGTATGCGTGCATAGCAGAAGAGTCCTGGTAAAGAAGTGGTTGTACAGCTGAGCATCTGGGGATGAATATGAATGCATTACAAATATGAAGAGAACAATAAACAAAAGCAACAGGAACTGATGTGGTTTCACAGTTTGCCTCATTCCTCAAGACCTTACAGTGTACAGGACTGATCTCTTTTCCTCACTCTCACTCTCACATTTATGACTCATTTTTCTGTTGAAGTCTGGGTTTACTCCAAACAGTCTTTCGGTTCTGGCCTTC